TAATTATACATTTATGTACATAATTTGATACAATATAAATATATCGATATGTAACGGACTGAACCATTTTATCTACAACATGTATATCTAACGACGATTTTTATGTCGCCCAGCATCAAACCTGGTCAAAATTGATCACTAAACATTTAACACGGTTTGTTTTGATCACCAAACGACTGACTTGGGTGGAATTTATATAAACAAAACAACATCTGGAGAATTAATCTCTTAACATTTAATCATGGATGATCGTTAACTCTCTAGCCTTGTTACAAGCAATCCAGCCTGGTTTTTACAGTTACTTCTTATCATTACGCTTTATACCTACATTGCATTATATGAAAATTTAACTTAAACGTCCAAACTTCGAACACGTGTCATTGTGTAAGTGGTACCCTAAGAAGAGTCTGGTTTGTGTTGTATGTAGGAAACATAATCGTTTGAACAAGTTTTCGAGGACTAACTACCGCGTAATACAAGTTGAAAGATAATTACCGCTGTTTAGATATGTCTTTTGTATAAGTGTTGGTGACTGGAAATTGACATAAATATATCGTTGACTAACAAAGGCGTGAAATACGTTTACAGTCATATACATTTTTTTATGAGGGGAGGCAGGATCAAGAATTTTTTTCTTTATTTTTCTTTTATTTTTATTGAATTTTATAAATTGAAAAAGCAAGGGAGCTGATAAATTTCCGTAATCTTGTAAATTTGTAAAACTTTCCTTAGGAACATAGGGTTATTGGTTTTTTATATGAGCTGTGAGGGACGATATGTAAATTATATTACCTCATAAACACCTAATACCGAATTAGATAAAATTGTGTAGTATTAATTGATGATTTAAACATGTGTTAATGTGCTTGTAAGGTTACTATCCTCTCGCGGAAGAGTGCAACTTATCAAATGATTGATATCTGAATTCACTGTTGTAAAATAATATTCCTCTTTAGGTAACGGTGTAGTACGAAGTGATGGCTTCATACTTTGCACGGACTTTTTATTGAAAAATAATTAGGTTAAGGCTAACTACAGGTAATCGTACTTGTTTTAGGATGATTGACAGCTGTCTGGTGGGAAAGGTATTAATCCGTCTTGTAGTAAACAGTAGCAGATGAATCTGGCTTAGGTGACGCTACCCTAAATTGAACACTAGTTTCTTTCAAATATGGACGTATACTTTTTGATTAAGCAATTATCAGCAACGATTTAACACAATTCGGGAAGTGCTACATTGCAGTTGATTGTCTCTTAGATTGTGCTATGGATTTTTAGTGTGTTTAGCTATAAGATTTGATATGTTTCGATAGAACATTTTCAACAATAAAGTTATCAGGAGCGGGTGAGGCAGGAGTCTTATAAAGCCCAGAAATGTATAGCTCGGTAGAAGTTATGGAACAGAAACCGAGGTTCTAATTGATTAAAATTTGTGCATGTACGATCACATAAGGGTGATGTGGCAGAACTGTCTTTATATTTTTCCGATCAATATATTTGATACAATAAAAACGGCAAGGACGAACGAGTAATCCTATAACTAGGAGAACATTTTAAAATGTAATCCAACATCTATTTTGTTCTTCTAACAGGTACTATTGTATCAATCCAACCTTATTCTGTTTTCCTTCATGAAATGCTAAAAATAAAAACAATTCTGTGTGTTTACGTGACATACACGCGGCTCTGTTTTCTCACGGTTGTAATGTTTCAACTTAATGATGATACATTGGACTCTGTGACATTCGCCTGTTTTTTCCCTATACATAAAATCATTACGCGAGTTACCAAAGCACATGATGTATGTTGGCAAAGTAAAATAGGACAACTTACAGTCTGACGTTGACAAAATAAGCATGATCTCGATGACCATGAACTTAATCATGTCATAAAGATACGAGCCATCTTTAAGCCAGCATGTAGTCCATAGGTGGTTAGATGGTGTAAAATCAAAGTGTCTATTGTAAAGTGACAGTTTCAAATTAGATGGTCGGGTAGTGACATTTCATCTGCACCAGTCAATGGTTGACATGTTTGGGGTAGAGTCAAGAGGAAGTAAGAATGCTTATTGAATAGTTTTAATTTTTATGGTATGACAGATACTATCATACATAGTTTTATTTAAAGAAAAGACGACATGGGCGTTAGGTTGCAGGCACAATATATACAATGTATCACAGGTCAAAAGTTAAGTATATATAAACACATTATGCAGATAAAATGATCTAGCGATCTCTACCGGTATGTATCGGAATTATGGAGACGTTGGGCGATTATCATCACTTAACTGTCAGCTTTAATCATTGTCGCCTAATTTATTAAGAAATTCACCAAGCGGTATGTCGTCTACTTAAAAATGCATGTATCTTTTTGAAATAATTGAAAAGGTCTGTTACAGAAGCAATGTAATCCTGGTCCAAATTGCGAAAACGAAACGCTATCTTAGCATAAACATAATTCTATCGAGTATGATTCAATACGTAAAATATAAAGAGGTATGTACATTTTGGCGTGTTCTTTTAAACAATCAATCCTGGTAATATTTACCAGGATTTTTCATAATTAAGGGATATTTTTCATTTGATTGTGTAGCAAAGAAAACTACGATTGTAGTTGTATGCCCAAATAAAATTCGAAAATTATCACGTACATGGGAATGGAAAGTGGTCGAATCCAAGTAATGAATGTTTTCAAAATGAGGATAAATGCAGAGAGGTTAAAGAATGTTTCTTTTAATTACAGCTGTTAAGATAATGTGACGTCGAAAAAGCTGGAAATGAATTAGAGAATTTTCCCCAAATTATTAAGCAACCGTCTTTCTGTTAGCAAATATTGCTAGGGGATACGGCTCATGATACGCAAGTTGCTGTTTTCCAAATGTTTTGTATTTCATTATAGGCCATGAGATCTAGATACTTTTTAAATTTGTATTTTTGATTTCCTTTAAACGCTGCAGCTTAAACAATTAATAACTTGAAAGTAATGGGTCACATCGGTCTCGAATAACTCTGGTAGAACTCAAGTATAATTATTATGTTTCGCCAATTTATGATTTCTTGGTAAGAACAAAACTAATCGGTGCAAAAATGCATTAAATAAATCATCTCAATTTAGCTGCAGAAAAATGACTTATAAAACTACTAGAAATAATGGACATTTGGATTTTATTTTCGTTTCCTAAATTAGTTATTATTAATGCTTCGACAGGATTGGTGCTGGCTATGACCAATTTCCTACTGAAGTTACAGCAATGACAAATACATTGTTTAAAATGCATGAATAATATTGAAGTGGATAGTTAAATGTAATATGGACAATGTAAAAACATCTGTCTCCCGTTCCTGGCATACTCTGAATCCGGATAACTTTAACAAATGTGAAATGGTATCGACCATGCACGCTGTTTTATCAGCCTACGTGCAGATTCCAATGAACAGTGCTCTCTTACGTAATGCTTCACTTGAGTAATGTTTCAAACACTGAAGATAAATGGGCAAGCAGATAAGACAAAGAATGATGTGTTTGTCCATGGTTCAAATCTGCAACATGGCATTTTAGATTTGAAATAAAATATTACAGCGATAGTACCGGCAACCAACAGAATGACATATTATAGAATAGAACTTTTACTTGACTATGTATTGCTCGTCACAAATACTCTCCAAAAGCAGAATTTAGGGTGGTCGGGTGGCGCAGTGGTAACGCACTCGCCTTTCACCTAGCCGACCGGGGTTCGATTCCCGGAACGGACGTGAAAAGGTAAGGGGTCACCTGCCCGACCACGTGGGTTTTCCCGGGTACTCCGGTTTCCTCCCACAATAAGACCCCTCGCGCGCTTACATCCGGGCCAACAAGAGTGATTAGTATAAGTTGACATAACTTGTTTCGCAATTGTTGTAAAATAAATAAAGTTTGTATTAAAAGCAGAATTGATTAACGAAAGAAAATGGATAATATCCATCCAGCGCTTACAACTGTATAAAATCAAAGTATACTCCAACTTATCATTAATTCAACTAATGTCTTGAGTTACTGACCTTCCTATTTGACCTTTTCTATTTTCAAGATAAAATTAACAACTTTATATTGAACGGTAACATATTCCTAACTGTAATAAAATGATTGATATCTACATTAAACTTTTTTTGATATATTGACACCATCCAGCAAAACAAATCAATATGAAACAATATTGATATTTTTAACGAGGAAATATCGTTTTAAAAGTCACACTTTGATGGTTTTAACCTAAAATTGCCCAATTACAATTTCAGGTTTTATTCCACCTCAGTGGTACGACGCATGCACTCTGTATATTAGAAATTGGATTAGGCGTCTTCACGTCCTTGGCTAAACAAATAAGTCGTGTCTTGTGTTGAAGCGGATAAGCTTGATTACCTGCATTAAACCTCCTACACATATACCTACGGCTTAGAGATACCTACACTCTATATGTTATGCTAACGCATATAAGTCTACCACGTAAACACAGTGGGAAAGAGAGAAACAATAGTACATATGTAGATGACAACATTATCAGAATATGAGAAGATCGCTCCAATAATATCCTTCATATTGTCATAAACAACGCATTCAGTCATTCTATTTTTAAATATGAAATATATACCGCCCTACTGGACTGCCGTAGTATGTAGTTAATTAACACGTACACACACTATCGCCTTTACCTGTCTACCTGACCTGTATAGCTCGCTAAGTAAACCGGAAATCAACAAACTTATCATAATGGCGACGACGTCTATGACCTGGGACTAAATGTTTTGGGTGGACCATGAGTGTGCTAGTCGTCATTTAGGTTATTGGTGATACTATCGATTTTTCTCTCTATTTCAGGGACGTTGTGATGTAGAACGAGCGCGATGTTTATGATTATCACATATAACCAGTAGTCAGTGTTGTACTGTGTGGCAGTGTGTATATATCTCGGAACTGTGCGTGGCTGGAAGCGATCTGTTACTGTTTTCAAACGTTAGTACTGATATCTAAAACTGACACAAGATATGTACATGGTACTCGTACCACACATATCTAGCAGAGACTTGGATGTATACTAGCCAGAAGCGAGTCTAACGTCGTTAGAGGTACAGGCGGTGAGGCCCTGAACATGTGCATTTTATCCTGATTAGCTGTGATGGATAGGCTAGCCGTTCTGTCCTGTCGATGAATGAATGGACACCTTGGAAACATCCGAGTCAGATCTATGTCAAATATTGACCAATGTTCATAGTGTTCTATTAGGATTATTATAACCTATAACTGACCAGGAGATTGTTGGTAATATAAAGGGGCTACTGAAGGTGGTCAATACGTTTTGTTTACATTATAAAAAAACCTTCTGCCCTCTTTACATCTTCCTGCCAGGCAGATCAGACGTTTCTTTGTGTATGCTACTGCATCAACACCTTTTTCTCTTAATATCAAGATATAACACTCTAGAGGAATTACATTTTTAGTGTTGGGTTTCAGGGCTGGCTGGTCTACACATGGATTTTATCACAGAAAACATCACATCTTAGGCTTAAACAGACCCAATCATGTGGAGAGAATCATGTTTTTTGTCCCTACTATTTACAGGTAAGTGAAATCGATAGATTTACCTACATATAACTTGGTATACATGTATTATTTCTATATCCGATACATATGCAGCTTTAACGTTAACGGTCTGTTTCACATTATATTGATGTTTAAATTGTCCTAAACTACAGAGTCGTGTATGTGATGAATCATGATTTCTTGGTATTACCATGACAAATCTATCAGGTGCACAACAATAGGAAATGATTATTAGAACATTTTGACAGTCATTTTCACGTAGAAGATTTTTCCTTAATAAGCTTACAACGTATAAAAACTATGAATTATTGTGATATCGACGTTTTAGTTTTGTATTTTTCTACTTTTTTCTGCTCGAATATTTTACTTTCTATACTCAGAAATCTTTGGTATTTTTTATCAAGTGGATGACCTGAAAGGCGTACATGATATTCAATAACTAGGCCGATTTTGTGTTATGATAAATTATACCAATATTGATATATTTGTGTTTGAAACTGTGATATCCATTTTAGCACTGATTTCTTTGAAGATAAGCTTATTAATAAACAACGGATTATATTAAGTAGATCCACTCAGTACAATGTATTTGTATACCGCATCTCACCTTACTATAAAACTGTGTTACATTACTTGGACATTGCACACATACTGAACTAAATTAATCACCTTCTGATAGGATACGGTGATTGTGTATAATACAGTATTTGATTTAAAAATATTAATGTCTCATTATGATAAAATCCATGTCAATGACAACTGTCATGTTTATACACGAAACCGGACGTGCAGGATAGTCAGTGCATTTATACAGAGTTTCCTATTTCTTAAGGAATGTGAGTGGGATGTGTAATAACTCAGGTAAACTTTTCCAACTTTTTCTTAAATATAACATCAAATACGTAAGATGGCATATTGAAAATAGCATGTAACGCTTTAGAGGGACTAGTGGAAAAATTAAGCTAATATTTTCCTTATCTCATTGTCATTGTCGTTAAACCTAGCTGTGTATTTTTTCCTCGGTAATACATTCAACTAAAGTAGGGATATACGGTTAACTGACATGAATGACTATCACTGACAGGGTAAGTACTCATAAAGATATTTAAATTTACTTTTAACAAAAAATGTCCATTAACCAAGGACATGAGGCAGCACTTAATGTCGTCAATAGCAATGAATCATTAATATATAATTTAGTACTTTTTCATTAATAACAATTAGAATCAAAACAATGCCTATATGATGTCCAAATTCATCTATTAATATTATATACTGACCTGTCAGATTGATTTTCAGTTTAATATACTTTTGTTTTAAATATTCATATTATCCATAAATACATCAAATGGTTTTAGAATTTGGAAATGACATTTATTATGTTTTAACGACGAATTATGTTGGTGTTAATCAGCATAAGAAAGCAAAAACTACAATCCTAGTGGTAAAAGTTATCATTTAAAAATATCATCAGAATACTAAGGTGTTTTTATATTGGTTTTATTCTAAACTAAATCAATTAAAAATTCATCATTTGATTAAACTTTGTAAGCATTTCCCTATAGGATTGTTTATGTTATAAGGATATAAAAGATATTACATAAAGTTATATCTCGAATATTATTTGTGTTGTTTAGGTTTCATGTACCAGTGACATTAGAAATATTAAACTTTCGTGTACAAACAATTATTCTGTTTCAATCACAAATTGCATACATTAACAACTAGTTTTATCGACTCCTTCAAGGGAATGAAATGACAACATTCATGTTAAAAAGAACTATTTTACTAAAGATTAAATGATAACACTATGATATTTTGGTTTATTTGTGAGCTAGCACATGCCCTTCACCTTTGTTACAGTATTACCTCACATGATATTTTGAATCGATGGCAACAATCAATGATGACATTCTATTGGATAAACACAATGGCACAAGAAGCGATATACATCGACACTTTGCCGGGTATATATATCCGGATGTCTGGCTCAGATTAACTATTGATGTTTCCTTAGCCAGTTGGTAACCGTGCACAGTTTGTATAGGGTATAGGATTTGTATGAAGAGATGTTCATGCAGACCAAGATCACTAAAACAATTGGTACTTGAGCATATTAGTGTCAGTAGAGACCGTTGGCCAAAGCAGGATGGTATGTTTACAACGTAAACACCAGGTTAATTCAGATGAGCATCCCAACTGAGGTAAACAGTAAAAGGTCAATCAAGGTGATTCAACAGGTCCCAAGTGGGATATAACGGAGTGGTTAACCTTTCATTACTAAATCTATAGCTGTTAAAATCTACAAAACACGCCGTGTGGAAAGATTTGAATTTCCCAATACGCTAATGGTGAATGATCACCAGCTGTAGTGACGTAACTAAGAGACCACAAGACGGTATCTGAATTTAGTTATATCAGCTTCAATGAAGATGCAAGAAAATGGTAAACCACAGAACATAAAAAATAGGAAGGCCAAAATTCGAGAGACAGCCTAGATATGAAAACAAACCACAACATTCACCATAAAGTTTATCGCTTATAAACTGGAAACACGAGATAATCCAGCTGGTGTGTCTGACAGTATGTCGGGGAGGCTGACTATAGAATCTACTTGGGGTAACACAGCAGAGAAAGCATTACATTTATTATGTCTTGTTTCGTTTGTGATGTGTAACATTCGTAGTAACTATATAGGTTTCCATTTCGAAAATATCTTAACAAAGTCTGAAAGACATTAATATGAGATGGCATTTTATGCAGTAAAAAGTATTATAAAATGGTAATTACAAATCATTATATATATTAATTAAACATTTTCAAACAGCGGAAAGACCCGAAATCACCATTTTGTAAATATCACAAGCAGTCATTATACTGTCCTATGTTTTTACCATTTTGTCATTTGCTTTGTTTTACCAGCGGTAATACTGGTCAATTATCTAAATAAGGATCAGTTTTTGGTTTCAGTGGTGACTCTGCCCGCATTTGCACCATGTACACCCTCACGTGGTTATGGTTCTATTCTGATCAAAGGCCAATCCATGTTGTATATATGTTGCTTCAGTAGTTACAGTCATCGTCCGCATGACAATGGGTCATTGTTTCAATGGACAGTATTTCTTATTTCTGACATGTTAGCAACCGTTGTTCCGTCCGCCATTTCCGGTCTGACAGTGGGTCGTTGTTCACGTGATTGCTCATATGTCAGTTAGTCTTTGAATTATTTGACGCCATTGCGCTATTTAGTCAGCATCACGAGAAAGTAGTAAGTTTTATCTTTCTACCTGTAAGATCATCGTACAAGAAACCATAGGCAATTATACGCTGTGTTAATCCTTCTACATTTTTCTTACAGTGGTAGCCGGAAACAGTGGCCCTTCGTTGGATCAACATCCGATTAAAGTTAACCTGATAGCGGGATTCACGGCAGTGCTACCTTGTACAGTCAAGAACAAAGGCCCAGGAACTAGGGTAACTAATGCTATATCCCAAAGCTCGCTACTTCCGTTTCTAAGAGAGAAGAGTTAAGCAGTATTTGTCATCTGTATTATCTTCCATTCGATTTTATTTAAACAATGCAACATAAATCAAAAGCTCTAAAATCCGTCTGGTATATTTCTTCTCCAATAAAAGTAGAGAATAAAGATAAAACATTATAGAATCAATAAATTAGTAGCACAATAAGATATATACAGACATGAAATATCACAATACAATATGTTTTGAATGCTATGTTATTGCACCTGTGAACTCCTTCACTGCTGATCACAAAACCTCATCTTATGTGCACAGGTGATTTTTTTAGTAAGTTACACTTAAAGAAGATAAGATGCTGGTGTATAGTGCAGTTCACACAGTACACACAACCGATTTCAGAAGGGCACGACGACCTTTCTGATTACTGGATGTATGCACTGTAGAGAGGGCATAGTGTGCAAGGAAGCTGTACTAATTTCCACGAAACTGTACATTTTTTTCAAAAAACAAAAGTGTATTAAAGTATCAAACAACAATAAGAAAAAGATATATAATGTAGATTAAATCAACAATACTTAAATCTCACCTCACAGTGCATTTATATGCAGCGGGAATGTACCATTCGGGAAAAATGGTCTTATTACCTAGATCTGAAATAAAAGTGTATTTGTGTAAGAAAATACTCGTTCGTCACAAACTACAAGAATTAGCGCTATTTTCGTGGTTGTGACTATAATTGAGCAGTGATATAATATATTTTTTTTAAAACGAATCTGCTGATTTGTATTCTAAAGAATGTCGTGGATACATTGGGATATATTAAGGTGATAAGGAAACCTAATATTTCGTACCTAAATCTCATTATATATTCCCAGTTATATCCATGATTAGGAAGTAAATTCAAGATCACTAAAACTTAAATCTTGTCTAAAATATCTCGACTTGTTTTTACATTTCCACCACGAGTATACCATGGGTATGCCACCACAATTACAACTGACCAATTATATAACGTATTCATATCGCAAGGATCATAAATAGCTCTAATATCTATTAAAATAAGTAATGTGAAATAAGTATCAACTTATGATTATCTAGGTTTGTTCCGAATTCTTGGAGAAGAATATCCATACATCTGATATCCAAAAACCATGCGTATGGCTTACTAAATCAGCAACAGTTAGATTCAAGATACGAGAACTCTGGTTAATGCTATGATATATCTGTCATGATTATCAGATATAAAACAGTGTGCTATTAATTGATGCTGAAATATGTCCCAATTAAAGCATGAAGTTGACTACATTCTGGCATTCGTCTTTCACCTTAATATTTTTCTTTGCAAAGTGCACCAGCTGCATTTTATCCAGATATGCCAGTTTGATGCACTTATATATCACTTTCCGAGATTTTGTATTTGAATCCACATGAATGCTTAGACTAATTCATAATTTGACTTTGCAGTAGCTGGGCATCTGTTTCAAATCACATTTACTCATTAAGAAAACAAAGTTTGATAAGGTCAAAATTCCTTAGGGAATAGGCAAATGGTTTGTTTTCCAACAGGAAGGCTGCTCGAAAACCATTGATTACGCATGATTTCGTAAAATAAGCAAATAAAAATACAATATATAAATATATATACATGTGTAAGTTTACAATGTTAGACTTAGATTGGCCAAGAATTTCGAAAACGGCACTATGAAACTGTGTTTCTGAACAATTTATCTGTGTTAATGATCGAGAAATTTAAGACCTTCAGCTACATAAAAAATGACCAAACAGCTATCAAAATGATGCATGAGTGGTATTCAACTAGGTCTCCCCACCACCCCCACCCCCCGCCCTAATGTGAAGTAAACAAAATAGTTTACTTGCGTCATGATGAAAATATCACATGTGAAGCTGTCTCAATCAAAATTATAAATCATATTCTTATCATAAATATCTTTTAAAATTGTGTAAAGAAAAATGAACTTCATGACGTGTTTACGAACAAGGCAAGTAGTTGATATTTTATTGGAGTGACATTGCTATCTTATGATTTTCAAGATATCCATAATTTCCTCAATAAACGCGCTGAACCTTAAAGGCAAACATTTTCCATACATTGCTAAAACAGCATTGATTTTTACTTTTAAAATGTTTTGATCATGTAATCCATTTAGCATAAAGATTTTATAGAACAAAAATATGAACATTGAGAAATGCTTTTAAACATATGCTTTTCAATTATTTGTATTTTTATGATGTGTAACGAAATCAGTTTGTATACAAACTATATTATAGACATGTTATATTTGCACAGGTTATGGTAACGTTAAAATCAAAATTTTAAATGGGACTGAAAATTGACTTAGTTTTGGTTATCATTATTTCAAAATCAATGTTAGTTATAAGTCTGTTAACTGATAGTAAAACAACCCATTGTCACATGTGTATAATTGCAGCGTGCCTAATCCCTAAACAAACGAGACACCATCTGCTGTAACGTGAAATCATTAATAAGCTACTTTGATTATTCCTAATATGTTTAGCCTTCTTTACTTCCATACAACATACCACATGTGTTATAATAAAGAAGGTAATTATACTGATAACAATGGAATAATTACAGGATTTGAGCTTACTGGCATTCAGAAACTGCTTCGGTATTTGTCTTTACAATGGAAATGGAAGAAATATTTAAAGTTTAATCTGAAAATGTTTCGTTTCCTCTCTACAAGTTGATGTTAAAGTATGATTAATGACACTCAGTTGTCAATATACGATTATTCCGGCTGTCTTATCAAACATCTGTAATTAGGGTGTAATCCCTCAATTTGATAGAAATTGCTATTTGATGTGATAGATTTCCTGGTGTATACAGAAGTCACGAACAGATACCCAGTAACTTGGGTGGTAAATGTTCAGGGCTTTCTAAAGCACTGTCAACTTACTGGCTACTTAATTAAATTTTGAAATCATTATTCATGTTCATAAAAAAATGGTTTCTTGGGTAAAACCTTACATCCGAATAGCCCTGGTATTAAAATGTAATGTTTACTTTCGGAAAATCCTTAATGAGGAATTTTTAAGCACTTGATTTTATCCCGTTAGTTACAGAGTACCTGCAGTTGTAAATACTAATATCAAAGTTAACACTACGAAGAGATGAATCATGGTCAGTAAGCCCATGACTCCTAAATGTTCGCATAAAGGTCAAGAGAATTGGAATTCCCACATAATCGGCATGTGGTCGGCATGTCCTTGGGGAAGATTCATAATTACCCAATCGATTTACTCTACATTACTGCCCTAGATAACCCCGACGTTATCTCTCAGACGACCATAATGGCCCTTGATGCCATATGTTTGATGCTGATGGCGTTTTTTATGAACATTACATGGTAATATACTATATTTGATAACCTCAGTGACAGTCTGTTTTTCTAACTCTTCAACCTTGGCTCTGAGTGAATTGCATAGTAGTCTTAAATTAGATAAAAATATAATGAACATGTGCGTTTCTATACTAGAATAAATTGATGACTTCATTTTTTGTTTACAAATAACTGACGTCATCGTTGAAATTTAGTTCACCAACAGGTGCACGTTGCAAAATGAATAAGTAAATAAAAGGTAAGACACCTACAAATTCACATGTTATGGTTCACCCCACGTTTTTTTTCTTTTTTTTTTCTTACAATGGTCACTTTTGGTATCAGAAAATATTTATTTTTTACCTAATGAAATTCCAGGACAATTCCCTTGTTTTTTTTATATGAATTCGAAAAACCATGAGTTAGATATAATCGATTATAAAGTTTCATTTCCTATAGACAGCACAGAGGTAAATTATTTACAAAACATCAAACCAGGCGAAAAATAAGTACTATTCCAAATGTAAACACATGTAATGTAGTGTAAGGACTAACACACATGTAATGTAGTGTAAGGACTGCCAAACATGTAATGTAGTGTAAGGACTGCCACACATGTAATGTAGTGTAAGGACTGCCACACATGTAATGTAGTGTAAGGACTGCCACAAATGTAATGTAGTGTAAGGACTACCACACATGTAATGTAGTGTAAGGACTGCCACACATGTAATGTAGTGTAAGGACTGCCACACATGTAATGTAGTGTAAGGACTGCCACACATGTAATGTAGTGTAAGGACTGCCACACATGTAATGTAGTGTAAGGACTGCCACACATGTAATGTAGTGTAAGGACTGCCACACATGTAATGTAGTGTAAGGACTGCCACACATGTAAAGTAGTGTAAGGACTAACACACATGTAATATAGTGTAAGGACTGCCACACATGTAATGTAGTGTAAGGACTGCCACACATTTAATGTAGTGTAAGGACTGCCACACATGTAATGTAGTGTAAGGACTGCCACACATGTAATGTAGTGTAAGGACTGCCACACATGTAATGTAGTGTAAGGACTGCCACACATGTAATGTAGTGTAAGGACTGCCACACATGTAATGTAGTGTAAGGACTACCACACATATAATGTAGTGTAAGGACTGCCACACATTTAATGTAGTGTAAGGACTGCCACACATGTAATGTAGTGTAAGGACTGCCACACATGTAATATAGTGTAAGGACTGCCACACATGTAATATAGTGTAAGGACTGCCACACATGTAATGTAGTGTAAGGACTAACACACATGTAATGTAGTGTAAGGACTGCCACACATGTAATATAGTGTAAGGACTGCCACACATGTAATATAGTGTAAGGACTGCCACACATGTAATATAGTGTAAGGACTGCCACACATGTAATGTAGTGTAAGGACTAACACACATGTAATGTAGTGTAAGGACTGCCACACATGTAATGTAGTGTAAGGACTGCCACACATGTAATGTAGTGTAAGGACTGCCACACATGTAATGTAGTGTAAGGACTGCCACAATGTAGTGTAAGGACTGCCACACATGTAATGTAGTGTAAGGACTGCCACACATGTAATGTAGTGTAAGGACTGCCACACATGTAATATAGTGTAAGGACTGCCACAAATGTAATGTAGTGTAAGGACTGCCACACATGTAATATAGTGTAAGGACTGCCACAAATGTAATGTAGTGTAAGGACTGCCACACATGTAATATAGTGTAAGGACTAACACACATGTAATGTAGTGTAAGGACTGCCAAACATGTAATATAGTGTAAGGACTGCCACACATGTAATGTAGTGTAAGGACTGCCACACATGTAATATAGTGTAAGGACTAACACACATATAATGTAGTGTAAGGACTGCCACACATGTAATGTAGTGTAAGGACTGCCACACATGTAATGTAGTGTAAGGACTGCCACACATGTAATGTAGTGTAAGGACTGCCACACATATAATGTAGTGTAAGGACTGCCACACATGTAATGTAGTGTAAGGACTGCCACACATGTAATGTAGTGTAAGGACTGCCACACATGTAATGTAGTGTAAGGACTGCCACACATGTAATGTGGTGTAAGGACTGCCACACATATAATGTAGTGTAAGGACTGCCACACATGTAATGTAGTGTAAGGACTGCCACACATGTAATGTGGTGTAAGGACTGCCACACATATAATGTAGTGTAAGGACTGCCACACATATAATGTAGTGTAAGGACTGCCACACATATAATGTAGTGTAAGGACTGCCACACAAATATTGTAGTGGAAGGACTGCCACACATATAATGTAGTGTAAGGACTGCCACACAAATATTGTAGTGTAAGGACTGCCACACACATGATGTAGTGTAAGGACTGCCACACACATAATGTAGTGTAAGGACTGCCACACATGTAATGTAGTGTAAGGACTGCCACACATGTAATGTAGTGTAAGGACTGCCACACATATAATGTAGTGTAAGGACTGCCACACATATAATGTAGTGTAAGGACTGCCACACATATAATGTAGTGTAAGGACTGCCACACATATGATGTAGTGTAAGGACTGCCACACATATAATGTAGTGTAAGGACTGCCACACATGTAATGTAGTGTAAGGACTGCCACACATGTAATGTAGTGTAAGGACTGCCACACATATAATGTAGTGTAAGGACTGCCACACATATGATGTAGTGTAAGGACTGCCACACATATGATGTGGTGTAAGGACTGCCACACATGTAATGTAGTGTAAGGACTACCACACATGTATTTTAGTGTAAGGACTGCCACGCCATTTTACGTTAATCTAACAATAGTGTTTACAGTTACATACACAACCAGATAACGCCGTATAGCCGGGTATTTTCGTTCGCGTGGTATTTTCACTATTTCGCGGTATATTAACGTGATCGTGAAATCTTACTCCGTGGAATAATTATGTACTGTATATAAGGTATCCTTTTTTACATCCAGATTGTGAAATTCAAATTTTGTTGAAATATCATTTGATTGTTTTAATAGAAATTCGCTAAAATTTTGACCCTTGACACTTATACGGTATTTCTCTATATACAAATAAGAAAACAAAAATTGTTGATCACTAGGCATACTGCGAATGTAAGAAGAAATATAAACCCTGGAAATTTCGGAAATAAAATATATTTTAAATCACTATTACGCGTAAACAAAAAACCGTCATAATAAACAAGGAACAACGTCAGTCAGCAGCGTTCTAATGTATATCGAAATACAAGAATACAATATGGTGATAGTTTAGATACGTATATAGATAATACTATATTAAATGAATAAGTTAGGCGGCATTTTCATGATGACCTAGATGAACAGGAGATAGTGGTGTTTCCGCTAATGTCCCCCCGTAATACTTCAGATGACGGGCAACAAGATGCGACCCTTGTAAAACACTTGATTCGTCCTCACAAAAGGAAATGCGTCCTTAAATGTATATATGTGACCATTTCGTGTTGTCATCTTGTAAACCGATAAACTGCATCATGTTATTTATAAAAGCATTTACATAGTTATCATGTCTTTTTCGTTAATAACTTCTTCAGTAATAACTAATTACCTTTTTTTAAAATGTCATAAACAACGGCTGCACTTTAGAAAACTACATCATTGTAACTACTTTTAATCACTGTAAGAACTGCACTGAGACAATTGATAGAACACAAAAACAATGAGAATCTGCATTTGACGGACGTCAACAATATTATAAGAATTGACTTAACGGTCAGTTCAACTGGAAACTTGATAAGCTGTACCTGTAGAAGAAAATGTAGTTACGTCAACTCTTAATAATTCAAATTGCTTCGCATCTAAGAGAACAACATATTTATTGTTTCACGGCTTAGAGGACAATGTTTCTGTCTTACACTGCAGAACTACAGCTGGTTCTTTTATGAAACAGTATAACATGGCCGTCGTTTGTGTTACATATTGAAACGGCTATAATTCACAGTAATCTTTCTGTATCTACATTCATTTTGCATCCTCAGCCCCTAAGAGAGTTTTCTGGCTTATGTGTTTATGCGTTATGTGTTTACACCAACAAACAAGTCCTTGCTAGTTGAACTGTGGTACAAGTTGTCCTTGTATGTTGACGATGTTGTATATTTTGCCCTTCTGTACCTATGTTTATGTATATTTGTCCTTGGTGTTTGTCCTCGTTTAATGCATCAATGTCATTATTTTTATTTCATCCTCCTGTGCAAAATAAATTCACGTATTGATGGTCCGTAATGTGACCATCTAATGTATACACGAATGCAGTGCACAAGTCCTCGATTGTTTCAGAAGTGGGAGGGTTAATACTATCTAACCCCATTGTTTTTACTAAAAAAAAATATTTAAGCTGAGCATTCATTCAGCCAATAATTTATATTTCGGTATAAATATTAAGTATTATACAAAAGCCAGTCTGATTGAAGGTCATACCTACTTCTAGTTATTATCAAGATATTATGTGAATAATTAATGAAATACTGTTAATTGTATAGGTGTTATGGATCGGTCCATCAGGAAATTTGTTGACGATGAACGAAGTCACAAGAACGTCAGATAAACGAATAAGTGTGCGAAGTCCATATGAAGATGACTGGAACCTGCGTATCGAGCAAGTCAAATACAGTGATCGTGGGAATTATACGTGTAGATTGTCCACCAGACCTGTACAGAACAAGGTGGCTGAGCTAAATGTATTACGTAAGTTCACTAAACAAATTATGTCATGACAAATTTCATTCTTATGAGAAACCTGTCACGCCTTTCCTTTTTTTTTCCTAAGACTTAAATATTTGATAGTGTATCTATTTGCAGAAATAGGATCTGGCAATCCTAGAATGTTCCGCATGCTAGTAATGTTTGATGGGCATTGAAGATTTTTCACTTTTAGATACGATTTTCATATCATTATTAGAATGAAAGTCCTTGACATGGTGAATGAATCATATCTGTTGTTATTTATAAGTGTTTGCAGTCGGACGAAGCAATTATTTCGTATTTTCTATACAGTATCTGTTAGCCGTAATTGAATGAAACATTCTGTAATTCATTACTGACCAGAAATTAATGAGAAGTTTATTTTGCACAAGCATACTGTTATATGAACATCTACAAAAGAGCTTTATAAAGATAAAGAAATAAAAACAAATTTTTGAAGGCATGCCAAATAGAACCAGCATTCTCTGTACCACTTGATTAAAGTGTGGGCAGTTAAAGCCCCTATCATTGACAACACTAATCATTGTCTGATTACATCAAGTGGTGAAACCAGTGTTTTAGCGCTTGAAATGCATTGTGTCGTTACACCCTATAGATAACGGAAATGGCCAAACAGAAAATATTGACATGAGCATTATTGTTTCAAAAAACAAAACATTGGCGTTACTGATTTACTTTATTATATTCAAACTAGAGAGAATCTGTTCCAGATAAGCATATGATGCACGTTCGAAATACGTCACCTCAAAACTTAACGCTGTCGGTTAGTAATTCTAATTGTTTGCCGGCATCAAAACCAAGTACGCTTAATGACATCAGTGAAAAAAGTACACCAGTTTGCTACAAGCCTTTGCAAAAAAAAAAAAAAAAAACATGAAAATCTGAACCATAAAAAATACAAAGTGATTAGCTTAAAGCTTGGTATGTAATATCGAGAAAACAATTACCAGCCCGCTTGCCGTTTAAGATTCACTTACTACATGTATATGATGTATATGTATATGTATTATTTACCTATATCTTGGCCTACACATATTTGGTGTGCTGTACCTTACCCGTGCTGTTACGTACCTGGTATATAACAATTATTACTATTGCATCGCCTCATATATCAGGTCAATACTTCATTTCAATTCAAGTCGTAGGACAATATGTGATCGTGAAATCAAAGTAACTAGAAAATAACAGACATGTCCCATGGACATCTATCAGTCGATAAGACAGGATAAGTATTAAAAGTGCCCATTTTATATTTTCGAACAAGTAAAACACGTGTTTGTGTTTTAAATATTTTATAGATTAACTGACATAATCCAATTGATATTTTGCAGTATCGCCAAAAATTCTGACAGCATACTCAAGCAAGGATATGGTTGTGAGAGAGGGCTCAGATTTGGAGCTAGTGTGTAATGCTACAGGCGTTCCACAACCCGAGATCACGTGGTACCGAAAGCAAAAAGACTCTCCAAATGCTAAAACAAGTAAGAAATGAATGGCATAGTATACAATATCATAAGTCATTTCATTTTTTATCAGCTCATTTTATCTACAGCTATCGTGCTTCATTCGTCATCGTCCGCCGTGCGTCGTACGTAAATGTTTTCTTTAAAGCCCTACTTCTCTTTCATACCGTGGTGGATTTCAACCAAATTTAGTCTGATGCATCATTGGGTGCAGATATTAATTTCTTATTCAGAATTTCGATTCGATCTATAGGGAACGAGGACCCAAAAGGGGAGGTGCTGAAATTAGCTTTAAAACTCTACTCCTCTTTTCTGCCTGGATGAATTTCAACAGTTCTTAACCTAATTCGTCTGTTAGGGTAGGCAACTATTTCTTAAATTCAGATATTGATTCGCCCCCAACCCCACCTTCCCCCCAAAACGGGACTTGGGGCGGGGTTCCAAACGGGGGAATTATTTCGCTTAAAAACGCTTTTCCTGCTTGATTGAATTTTAACCATATTTCTTGTGTAACATCATTTAGAGTGGAGAATCATTTATTAAATTCAGAAACTCGATTCGATCCTTACAGACCTAGGGGCGGGCGGGCCCCAAATGGGAAAGTTAATCAATATTTTTGCTTCAAAACGCTATTCCTTCTTAATGATCGGATGGAATTTAACCAAATTTGATTGAAAAATCATTGAGAGTGGAGAATCATTTCTGAACTCAGAAAGTCGATTCAACTCATGGGACTCGGGGGCGGGGCCTGAAAAGGGAAAGGTAGTCAATATTTTGCTTCAAATTGCAACTATTTATCAATGCTTGAATATATTTCTTTCAAATTCGGCCTGAATTATCATTGAGGATGGGGAATTATTTCTTAGATTCGAGCCCTATGGACATGGTGGTGAATCCCTAACAGGGTAGTTAGAGAATACTTTGATTAAAATCATTACTCTTCCTTAATACTTTAATGGATTTCATTCAAATTTGGTCTGTAACATCATTCGGGGTTGGCAAATATATTTTATGATACCATTGTTAGAAACTTGAAACAATAATTTTTCCTCCGTATCGTCAGTAATTGGTTTCGCTTCAGTAACACCCACGTCAATAGTTATACACATCAGCAACACATTGTATGTACGTCATTTCAGACTTGGATCCTTAAATGGATCGCATCGAACCTTAGAATACATGTAACAAGAACATTGACTAATGCTTCAATTTTCCGACCCAAACGTAGAAATACATTTGAGTTTTTTGATTGTCTGGAAGAACCGAATCGATCGGTGTTGGATTTGTATGAAAATGACCAGTGATTGCATATGTATATGGATAATACATTGGAATTGGAAACGGGATAAACATTTATAGATCATATTTGACTACTAACAACAAGGAATCAATGGATTCCCCGTGTTATGTATTTGTTTTGAAATAAATGTAGTTATTAGCATATGTTTGAGTTACGTCAATGCATGCGGCGAACAACATACCATTAAAACATTATTTCCTATTTGTACTAATCTCACACTGAAGTTATATAGATATGCATAGGCTGAAATTAAAAACAGAGAATCTAAAGCATACGCCCCGTCATCTTGTCGTCTTTAAACGGTGCGATAAATATAACGGATAGCTAAGACATCCATTCAAAAGACGTTTTACCATTGTTGGTGTACGCATGCTTTCATTAGTATGGAAACCGTTACCTCGAGTCTTATACATTCAATCAAACAGGATTAATCACTTGGGAATATGTTACTACAAGTAGTTTAGTTTTTGGTCATTTCTCCGTACGAAATTACAGTCGACGGTTTTTTGGCATCGACGCAACCGATATCACTACTTGAATATGTTAAATTGCCACTCTAGACAGACGTAAGCTTTAAGATATAACTGAGTTTTGACAGGGCAAGTGTACTTTGGATGTAATGTTCTAAATACAATCGAAGTTCCGACGAACAGGAACATTTTCAGTTCCGTTATACAGACAAGTCTTAATGATGATGTGTAATTCTACAATTGTTTAACTTTTATCAATATTCAACGGCATTGGTTGTAATGAGCGTAATCGCGATAAGATTACAATAAAATATTTTCTCATTACCTTCAATGCTGGAAGTAACATGTAGCTTAATCTGGAGTCAACGTGGGATAGGAAATAGTGTTGATGAATAACTGTTCCGAATAGTAGCACGCTCCAGCAAATACGCATATACTAGATCATTGTTGTTATACTTAAATTATTAAATGTATGAAAATTACAGAATCTATTCAATTATGGGGCTAGTGAATCGGCCCATTTGTATTTTGACTTTTCTTTTTATTACTTAAGATATTTCTCAATCGCCTCCTAGATTTTACAAAGTATGCCCTCATATCTCTGACTAGTCCTAGTGGGACGAAACAGCTGTATGATGCAGTTAAACTCATCGTTTAGTCCTGTTTTATCTAACTCTAAATTTGTATTTAGGGTGTGCCTTTTGTATAAACTTCCACCAATAGTCAAATATGGGTTTTTTTCTGTAAGATTCTGTACAATCCGAATAAAGTTAAGAAACATTAGTAGTGTTTATTTCAAAACCAGACCTCAAAACGTCGATACCTATTTCGGATAAGAGATATATTTTCACATAGAACGTTATTTTTATCAATATTCGTTGTTATTATTCTTTCCTGTGTAACAAATTCGTACTTCCGTGAAACAATTCATTGTGTGAATGTAGATCACATTGCATTCGCATAACAATTAAGCGACATTACTACATCAAAATATTACAATAAAATCGCTGAATTTGCAAACATCATGACATTGTTGAAAGCAAGTATAAACATTATGTTGATAGAATATGTTTGGTGACATTAAAGCTGTTTATTGTTGATTTTCTTTTCTTTTTTATTAATTTCAGATCTTGGTACAGGTAGTACAGATCAGCTGTTAATTAACAATGTTACACGTGACGAGGCTGGAACCTATGAATGTGTCGCCCGTAACGACGTCGAGCCAGCAGATTCAATATCTATCAAAGTGGATGTACAGTGTAAGCTTTTGGTGATGTTAAAATCTAACTCAATATAACACTCTCATAAACTAATGTTTAACATAGAAAGATATTATATCAGGTTTGAAAGCAGCTGTTATGTAATTTGGAGGGTTTTCTCTTTTCGTTATTTTAGCGGATGACATAGAACCGCAAGGAATATACATTAAGGCAGTAAACAGTAATGCAAGACTTCCATAAGAAATCCTTTAAGTGAAACATCAAAAACTTATCCATCGTTAAAATAGTTTTACAAGATTCAACTTTAATTGGCTTGGAGATAACATTATTTAACAATTATGATATGTCAACAGAAATATTCGCAGCGTCATTACAGGCACTTATGTACATGTAACTGTGTCTGCCAGGTCTCACAGTTCTAGCAATAAATTTTCTTTTTTCTTCTATCAGTTGCCCCAGAAATTGAAATAGAGCTTGAAAGTCTCAGTCAGAAAGTTGGCAAAAGCACTGTACTGGAATGTGTTATCACGGGGTTTCCTATGGAGGTCGCAGTCTGGAGATACAATGGCATTGATATCGAGGAGAGGACGTGGAAATATGAACCAATCGTGTTTCAGAGGGACGGAAACACAATATTGTTAAGTCTAGAGATTCGGGAATTAAGCCCGAGTGACTTTGGTGTTTACACATGTTTTGCTAGAAATGTTCTTGGGTCATCAAACAGGACTATACTTTTAAAAGGTAACGTGTCTGTGTGTGGAAAGTATAAATACCGCTTTTAGCATTAAAACCTGAAAAGGTGTCAAATGGAAATATATGGATACCTAGATAAACCTAACTCTTAACTCTACTGGAAAAAATTACAACTTCATCTTTACGGTCGTCGTTTCGTGAATACAGTTGTATTTTAACACATCCAGTTTATTAATTTTCAATTAACATTTTCAATACTTTTGAAATAAACAATGCTGGGCCTGTTCACTGAAGTATGGTCTCTCTCCCAGCCAAATGTAATATATGTAAATAAATGTATGGCTGCCTCTTGCAGAGATGCCGATAACTACACCGTTACCTATAACACCCAAACCGACCACTACATCTACCGATGTCACCACCAGTACGACAAGGGCGACAACTCTCACCTTTACACCAGGCAAGGTTATATCTAGTACAACAACGAGTAGTGGTGTTGTGATATCGGACAAAAGTCCGTCCGATGGGCCTGCCTATACTCTAAATCCACCAGAATCAGAAGGTACTAATCATACTGTTTTCTAGTTTGATAAGAAGTTTATCGTAAAACCCAGATATGAAGTAAAAACTGTCATTTATATAGTGGCTATTTTTAAATCGCACTTTTTAATTCTTATTTGGTTTGTTCTTTCTCATTAAGGTTTGATTTATTTGACTGCAATAGGCAGAAGTTAATCTTCAACTTTGTATGATATTCGAAATATAAAATGTTAATATCCTTAGTTTTCGTGGGATATAATTCTATGATATCCCAAAATCCACAGAGATTGCTAATATACTAGATATATCGATGGTCGCATTTCGTCTAGATATTACATTGTGTAACAACAGGTATATTAAAGATATTTATCGTTTTAACACATAGCAAACAACGGGAGTACAAGTCCAGGTACAGCTGTACTTTTATAAAATATTTCTGAATGTTTCATATATTCAATACCATGAATGTTTATATCACTAACTGTTTACTATTTAATGTCATCACTCACTTTTTCCGTGTCGTAAATTACTGTAGCATGTATATATCAATGTATATGTATCTTGAGTACAGCAGATTACTGCTTTTTCATGCCATGGGTAAGAAGTACTCGTAAAAATTTCGATATATAAACATATGTTGAATGTTTGACTTCGTGTTCAAAGGACGCTTGAAAAAAATATCATATCTCATTTCGAATTAGCTTAGTATTTTAACTCTCTACTGTCAAAGTTTAGAAAATAGTAGCAGTTAGGCGATGAGATAAACGAATTTATAACAATTTTTTTTTGTTTGAAATCGTTAAAATGTGCTCTAGTTGTGCCAATCTAATTATAGAAAAGGGTTCCGTTATCAATCGAAATCTTTTTTTTTTTAAAGATGAATCATTTCTTTAATTCACACTTACTCTGAAGGGGCCGTGATAGTTAGTAGTACATCGTCGGAGGTTTTGACCTCAAATAAGGATCCAAAGTGTGTGTAACGATCCCTGCTCATATTGTGTTTACCAGGGACCTTAAATCACGGACAGCCTTGTGCTGCCAAGGCTGTATCCTTTGACAAGACGCTTTACCCCGATTGCTTGTGATAGCATGTTGTGCGCCTTCCGCATGTTGTTCAGTGAGGAAGTAATTGACTACTACAAGGAAACCCCCGTCCTTTAATACCTTGCTGTTTTATACATTGATAATACCCAGCAAACAAGCAACCAAGTTCACCATGCACGATAATGTTCTATGTCGTATAATTTTGAACGAAATTTGAATTCGAAAACTTTAATTATTGTTATGGTTTGCTGGGAATAATACTAGAATGCTACAAGTGAGGAGTCAAGCTATTTGTACGTTTTTGCATATGCATTAAGAATGTAATTTGAAATAATCTTAGTGTAGAGTTTATTGTTATTTCATGTGAAATATCAAACAAAATATAAGGATTAAATTTGTAATACATTGAAAATAGGGAAATTTCACGCTGGTTAAGAGAAAAAAACTTCATATCAGATAGTACTGTTTGATGTGTGTTATGTGTGAGGATATTTCAGATGATAGGTTAACAGGTATTGCTCTGTATGTATCTTCTAAATAATAACAACATAACACACTCAAACATAGAGTTTTTACTCTTACCTGTTAAACAATGACGTATATATTAAGCGCACTGTCCTATATATATCGTTTAAATACAAACAAATGTGATATATTGTACGCTTATTGATTTGTAATGTGCTCTTTTCTTTATTCCAGGGCAAAGTAACAGTTGTTCGACATTCCGATACCATAGCTGGATATTTCTTATTCTGTTGATACCTTGCATATCTTTAATATGAAAACTAAAATGTGTTCATAGAAAATTTATATAACCTCCGAAGCACTATCTGAAACTGTGTACTCAGACTAAAGTTCTTACTTGAAAATTGTAAGATCAGAGCTACAGTGACTCAGAGGCAAAATCAAGATGGACAGCGTTGTTGATTCTGCCGAAACTTGAACAATACAAAATGTCAAGTTCTAATATAACTATGGCTGATTCGCAAACACGGAAGAGGGAAACTGACGTCCTAATTCACGAATGACTGGTCTCACTGATAGTCAGTCACCACTGTCGTCAAAATAAGACAGAATTTCAAATAATCTTGTGTTGTGAATAGTCAAGATTCAACTTTTTTGTAAAAGTAGGTAGTGCTTATGAATTCCGGAAATACCGTTGTATTGTTGGCAATACATAACATATATGTGAATATGTGATGCGAATATTTGCAAATTATTATAACATTAAATCCGGACATTACCTGTTAACAGGGTCATGTGAACTAGTCATTCATATGTATACAGTATTGTATACATTATCATTTTACATAATATCTTTAACATTTTGTGTAGCCATTATACTTTTACAGACACACGTGATGATATATATTCCATTATAATAGTTTTACTAGGTTGTGAAATTTATTCAGATCCTACTTTAAATATATATCCGCCTTGGTAACCAGTTTCCACTGGCCTAGTTATTGCGACGATCTGTAAAATCCTTTATTTTCTAACGCTTTTCGAGACACATGATTCACTGTAATATATTCATCTCTTCATTGAAGCAGTATCAATATCTATATACATTAGACACATAAAGCATAATTTTATCATCGACGATTATGGGCAAAATACGGTGTGATAAAGTTATATATGTGTTTGATTTTTTAGATATCATAATGTATGCCATGAATTCAAGATAAACATCGTCTGTTTAATCGGTGGCAATTTACAACGTACACAAACTTCATCACTGACGTTATATACACACGTGTAATATTAACGTCGCATTGTCCTAGCTTGCTTAGTTCTCTGTTGATAATGTCTGTCGCTACTTTGTTAATAAATACTCTGGAAAAACTAAAAACATGAACTTGTTGATGAAAAATTTAATCTCGATACGTGTTTTCCAGTGATATGTCTGTATTGAGTTATTTGTTACAACTGAGATTTATGTGGAATTCTGTCTGTTGCTGTATTCCAGTAGGTGCTCTATGACACTTATTGAACTATTTCAAATTTGAATGGTTTTTAGAAAAATCTATCATTTCAATTTTCTAATTGAATAAGTCTATATTTACAAGTGAAAAAAATTGTCGAAGAGGATCTGAAGGGCAGTGTACTGTTTCTGTTCTCCTGTTTGAGAGCGAGGTGTCGGATGAACAGTGTATGGAGTATTTCATTGTAAAAGGACTAACTGTTTTTACACTGTCTTGGTCACTGTTGTCTTTACGTAGAAGTTTGATTAGCTCTTAGTTATTATTTATTGTATGTTTTGTCTTTGAGATTAATCAAATAAATCCGTTATCAAAAGCTAAAATATCACGGGATCGAAATAAAACACTTGGTTAAAATGTTCTTCTTAACAACAGGAACCTTTATAAAAGTTATGGTAATTTTACCAAACAGAATCAAGATCTACTTTTGTACGTTTGGGTATAGGGCATGATGCAGATCTTATATTTTACTTATTACAATATTTATAATAATGAAAGAGAAATGAGACATTTTAAGAATGCAAAAAAAAAAAAATTCTAGATCTTTTTTCGGAAGAATGTGATAACCAACTCATTAAGTCAATGTACAGACTTATCCTGGTTTAATACTGTGTGTCCAGTTAGATAATTGATTCTCTGAATGATGCAATATACACGTTTTATAATTTTCCAAAACATTATTATGAGCATCAATTCATTTGTAAATAATCTACACTAGAAAGCATGAAGTTTGTCTTCCACATATTGACAGAGTCATCCGGTGATATGCAATACAACTATATTTGTAAATATAATGCAACACTGATCAAAATTAATTCTTAAAGTTAAGAAAACATAATTCGACCCAATAAATAAAAAAAACAGCGAAACAAACTTAACAGAAAAATATGATGTCATAGTCACATTAAAATTGCTGTTAAAAAGTTTTTTTATTTTCGATATATAGGTTTTTTGAATCTCAGTACTACTATTTATTCGTGTGAATGTCTGTATCATCTGTTTATTTGATATAAGTTTCAGTGTTTTTTTATCACCTCATCAGTATTCATTATAAGCACCTAGTGCTTCGTTGTATATTGTGCCAAAATCATGCCTGTGTGCTTTTTATATCGTTTGCAATTAACATTTGTACAGATAAGTGGGATTTCTGTTATTATTGCACATACTTTGTTTCGTAGCGATTGAACGGTTTATTTAAATGAATGAATAAACAGTGGCTAACGTAAACAGTTGTTGTCTTTATTTGTTAACAGAGAGTTGATAATAGATTGTTCACAGAAACCAGATTTAAAGTTTAAAGTCACGCACTGGCATTACATTGATACAATATTTTCACCAAAATATTGTCATCTATAACATAGTTACAGGTAACATTTAGTATAGTTACAGGTAGCATGCAGATATTCTATTATTCTAAACCACGAGAATTTCCCAAATGTTACGAAAACAGGACCTATTTCCCATTAAAAAAAACTTATTAATAAATCATGAATAATCAGTTTTCCAGAAATTTTATCGGCATTTGAAAAGGCATATTTAAGTTTTCATATTCTAGTTGTATAATGAATGAGTAAATAAAAGGGATTAAGAACTGATCCAGACAAAGAAACAGATGTCGAATATTTTTCTTTGATTTATATTTTACTTTGACAGCGATTTATTGAAGTAATCTCGTATCCGATTTACAACCATGAAGCATGGAATGATGTACATGCAAACCAGTCATAAGGAAACTTTTGTAGCATTTTTTTTTTTTTTTTTTGAAAAATGCAGCATTATATCTGTGGCTCACAAGACAATAACAATTATAAATTCCTCTACTTCAATATTTCGGCTGTTCTCAGACTATACGTATGAGATTTTCGAAGTAATGTCGGAGATATGTTATAAACTTTAAATCTACTGAACAGGACGTCTAATATATGTGCCGGAGTCTGTCGTAGTTATCTCCCTTTAATCGCGCACTCGTATTCTAATTCAGCATTTTCTTTGGGTTAGTCAGAATCTACAAAACATACACAAATGAATAGCGTCTTTTAATTCAGATTTGAAACAACAAAGCCGAATAATCAATTGAACTGTTTCGTCCTTGGAGGACTCGTCAGCAGAAGTATATATTTTTCATATCACAACCAATCAGAAAATAAGGTATATTTTTCGATGACTGCACTTTCACTTCATCAAACAATGGCACGTTTAAGAATATACACATGCACTTGGCATCTTCAGAAATTATCAGATAGATGATAACTACCACCCCATCTAGTGTTAGAAATTTGTCGATCACTTTGGATTTTCCTAACATACATGTGGATTCCAAAATTATGGCCCGTAGCATCACTGACGAGTCTTAGAAGGACGAAACAGCTGTATAATGCAGTTAAATTCCTTAATCGACACAACCGCCTCTAATTTTAGATATAAATTAAAGGACGCTATTCACTTGTGAGGTATTTTTTATTATTCAATGTAATAGGGTCACAAGTTTGTGCTGTTGTATTGAACAGTATGTCTTGGGTCTCCAAATGTAAGTTTTGACGTTCATTTTTAAGGTTTCATTGATTCTATACATATCTTATAACAATACTAATTAACGAAATTTTATCTTCTTTGTGATCAAGAAAATACAGAAATTATGGTTGAAACATCATTTACTGTTTTTCACATTATTAGATATTATGAAAGCCCATCATTGTTATGGTGGGGTTTTTGTTTTTGTTTTTGGATTTTTTTTTTTTTTTTTTTTTGTTTTTTTTTTTTTTTTGTTAATTAGTTCCCAATGTGCAATAAATTACATAATCAGGGCTTCAGTATACATTTTGACATAATAACACATAACAAACAACGGACTCGATATGTTTATTCAAACTGAAAGACCATGATTACGAGCTCAAAAACACGGGGGAAAACAAGACAAAAAAATACATGAGTTGAACACAGAATCAGTATTCAGACTCAAATTAGGTGACGCGAGGGCAAACTGTAAAAAAATTATTGACATAGAGAACCCTACTAGGTATAAGGATTATATAATCAAGTGTTCTGGAAGGGTAAGCGTCTCCGGCTTCATAGACGACACCCACTATGTAAATCCAGATAAGTAATGTCACGTTCCCAATTGAGAACGACTTCTTATCACATAAATGAACAGAATCGATAGATCATTATGATGACAGTACAGCTTTCCCATAATTATCATCAACCTGCGCCTCTTTAAACCCTGTGTTGTGAGTTTGTCTGCCAGTTACAAACATCTTGCACACATCTCGTGATATAAGAGACAACTGTGACTTGTAGACACTGTAAACACCGTAGTCTGGGAAATGCTCACAGGATTGTTGCTATCAAGAAATAAGAAATGCACATAGAAAACTTGAAGTCATTCAACGAAGCAATCAATATTGGTTTAGTTGTAGGAAAACATTGATGAAAACGACTGATATAGAAAAATGTGGTGTGTCCTTGATTTCGAAATATGGTGGGCATATACGATGTCGTGGTCAATAAATCTTTAATATTTCTTATTCAAAGACGCCATCAATATATCTGAGAGTTAAAATAAAGGACTTCGCATTGTCTATCATACTTTTTTCGGTAAGTTCTTCAGTGAGTTCAGCCTCGTTAGTCCACAACAAATAAGCCAATCAAGAGAAGAGCACAGTCTGTTCCCATATGTAAGATAATAGTCTGTTGGAAAGAGGCATAATTATACTCGACGAGGGTTTTAACTAGAAATAAAATAATTGTTTTTCGGATGCGACGGTGTCATGAAGTGAATCAAAGGCGGTTCTTTTCCGATGTTTGATAAATCAATATTTGTATTCAACTCCATTTTTTCAAACCTGCTTAATAGGTATATGTTTAATTATCTTAGATAGTACTCTTATAACAAACAATAATAATAACACTTTAAGGACATTTCCCGAACCCGAATACTTTTATTTAATGTATGTATTTTCTAAAAGCCAACTCAAGATTATTTCGATCATTTCGTTCAGATTATCTTTATTTTTATAAATGATGTTGTTTCTTGAACTGCATATAAAAATACCCCACCCGCAACATACAGTATGAAATACAACTAACGTATGTTTCACGTTAAAATGAGTTACCCATATCCGAATAACTGACAATCTGTCGGAATAATGCAGTTGCTTTTTGGCGAAAACTACACTCGATCAACCCAAGATTGCTGGAACGACGGCCTTCCATCATGTCAGTAGCAAATTCATTAGCAGAATTTTGTACGAACGGGAACACAACACAAGTTGGTTTTCTTTTATTCGCCAACAATTTTTGAAATAATTAGAAATTATTTAAAAACAGATGGCTGTAATTAATGTCAAAATTTTCCATGTTACAATGGGGAATTTTTACACCGCTCTGCATGTTTTCTTCTCAATTAGGAGTACAATGTTCTATAGGATTGTCTTCTTGCTTTATGTAAACGTTAAATCGGATTCACGAGACCGGCATTCATCGTTGGCATTTAATGCCGGTATCTGCAGTATGATTTAATAATCTTTCGGTAAATTGAAGATAAAATCGTACAATCGCATTATCTTCATTTGGGGTTTTCAGTAACATCCTATATGTTGGATTTCGTGAATGTACTTTTACTGGTGCACCCTAATTCCCTCCTTCTATCCACAGCACTACCAAGCTTAGGCCAAATGATTCAAACATAGTGAACATTTTACTTTTACATGTAAAAGTATGAAATAACGAAATGTTGAACAGATTGTAACTTTTGATAATTTAGAGTTTGATACAGTAGAGCCAAAAAAATGAATTAAACCAGTTTATGAGAGCATGCACGCTGTCAACTGCTAAACCACAACCTACTTTGACCAATATACTATTATGATTTTTTGTTCACCTCCAATTTCCACAATTTGTTTATTAACATAGCTATGCATATCTTTTACAACTGCCAAACAGACTGCTACGTTCTAATCGCCATTGAAACATTGCCTTTGGTCCGTACAATATGTACACTTTATTTCCTTGAATAGTGCCAGTGTTTTGAGAAATTAAGTGATAAACTAATTTATTTTATTATTGATTAATAGCTAATAGTTCAGTATGTTTACCACCAAAACAACTTAAACACATATTGTTCATCTTTAAGCCTCCTTGTTATGCTCAACTAGTTCTATGTATCAATAAACGTGTTCGTGTCGTTTACCAATAACATTTTTTTTCATCCTATAAGCGAGAATATGTGGGTAATGTAGAATTTCACATAAAATATCATGATGGACAGAAATGCCAACAGCTGAGCAGAATTTGAATCGGAACTAAAATTCGATAAAACTACATAAAAAGAATTACGGGAAGACCAATGGAAATGTTACAAGGAGAATAAAACTAGTTGTTCCAGAACGGTTAGCGTCTTCTGCTTCATCGCCGACACACATGTATATTGTGGTCAAATCAAATAGATAATGTTAGGTTCCTATATAAGGATAAGATTAAAGCACACGTAACACGTACTTTCTTATCGCGCAAGGAAATAGAATATCTCAAATTAAGGACTTGCCCATAAACATTTCAAACTTTCATCTCTGGAAACCATTCTTGTGAGTTCGTCTGACGGTTGCCGGTTTATCTTGCAGGAGAAACGTTGCATTAATAAATTGATTTAATTAATATCTACATCTATTTTTCTAAAATTTCATTTTGAATATCTTAAAAAAATCAATGTTTGTCTGTTGTAATATTTTTATTCGAATCGACACATAACAATATCAGGACACATACATATATATATATATATATATGTCTAATTATGATGAGCCAATATGACAAAAAAGTTAAGCTCCAACCAGAAATGTAAAATTATTGTTTCTTCATCTCATACAGTCTTATTCAAATGATAATAAACTGATGACGTCATTTTTCACATTTTACAGTGTAAAATCATGAATGAGATAACACTTGATGCTGTTTTTACATGTCAGTGTTTAACATGCATGAAAAATGTATAGACATAACGAAATAGCTAACTGTCCTGTATACTTACTGCAATGGTACAAATGTATGACATGACGATCTAGAACAATGATATTTCATACAAGATATTACTACAACGAATAAATTCAATGAGTTCATTTCCGATACATTTATGTATTATCAATTAATCAACAGTATTCACATTTTGATATCAATTCATAATAATCACAAATAGCAGACAAGTATACTGAACTCGCACAAATAGGTGTAAA